GAAACAAAAGTCTCATACAGAAAATATGAGTTTTTTTTTCTTAAGAAGAAACGCAATAGTAGGTTTCTAATTTTTCGTTAACAATGTGTGAAATCCTTAAGAAAGCTAGGTTTTCTAATTTTTAGAATTATACTTAGTTTCTTAGAAATCTTGAATGGATAATCAAATGAGTTTTCTTAAACTAAAACCGGAAACAGCACTAATTAGAAAACTACAAACATTCAAGGCTTTTACTAGAACTTCACATCATTCACATAAAGATTCACATAAATTTGATTGGTTTTATCCGTTCGTATCATGGTATTAGTTTTATATTTTGAAAATGTCAAAAAAAGAAAGTACTAAGATTTGCGATATCTTTCAGCAAGAATGTTCAGTCGTTTGCGGAGAAGTTAATAGAACTAAACGTGAAGGTTAGGACAATGATCTTGGAGAGTTTCGGGCTCGAGAAATACGTAAAGGATCATCTTAACTCAGCAACGAACCAGTTTCAATTAATCAAATACAAAGGACTTAGCGATAATACAGAAGAGAAGCTAGGTTTCGATCCTCATATCGATAGACAGTTCCTTACCATTCTTTCCCAGAACGATGTAGTAGATGGCTTGGAAATCAAAACCAAAGATGGTGAAGAGTGGATCAAATCTAAGCCATCTCAAGACTCTTCTTTCCTTGTTATGGCCGGAGCTTCTCTTCATGTAATTGAAATTAGCTTCCTTGTATCTCAAGTTTCATATTCTCTATAAGGGGGGGAGTGATATTTTTTTTGGGTAAAATTCTCTATAAATCTTTATTTAATTATAATATGTAATACGTGTTTTGCAGCTACTGTTGAATGGTGGGGTGTTACCTGCGCTTCACCGTGTGGTTATAACCGGAAAGAAAGATCGGTATGTGGCTGGACTGTTCTCGCCTACGAAAGAAGGATTGATCATAAATGCGCCTGAAGAGTTAGTAGATGATGAACATCCTCGTCTCTATAAGCCTTTTGATTTTTGGGCTTACTTGAAATTATTAAACACAGATAGGAGAGACCTATCTAGTCTCAAGGCTTACTGTGCCCTTTAAACATTTATGATGCATCGCGCGCGAATAAAAATAAAAATTATGTATCATTTGTCATTGTGCATGCACTTGTTGATTTGCTATTGAGTTGGTTTGCCGCACCTTTACATTGCCTTGTTTCTTTCAATAATAATGCATTATATGAGTTTTTGCGAGTTTGAATTCGGGTAATAACGCAGTAATATAGTGGCACAAACTACTACGTTA